TTTCTGGTACTCTCTTGCTTTCTCCATAATCCAGCGAATGTTGGAAATTTGATCTCTAGTTCCTCTACCTCTTCGAAACCCAGCTTGTACTTCTGGCAGTTCTCTATCCACGTACTGTTGAAGCCTAGCTTGTAGGATCTTGAGCATGACCTTGCTAGCGTGTGATATGAGTGCAGTGAATTCCAAGTGTGAAGAAGGACTTCCTTTTATCCGCGACCGCTCAGCAATTTCATGGAGTGCCCACGGGTTCTTGTATTGTGAGAAAGGGAGAAAAGGGCCTCTTTCTCTACCTGCTCTTTCCCATGCATCATCTTATAAACCTCAATCATGTCACCCCTCAGTCGTCGTTTCTCCAAGCTAAAGAGCCCTAAGCGCCTTAACCTTTCCTCATAGGGAAAGGGTTCCAACCCTTTTAACATTCGAGTTGCCCTTTTCTTCACTTTTTCCAAGAGAAGACAGAGCAAGAACTTGAAGGGGGGGGGGGAGTCCAACACCTCCAGCCACCTTTCTGGGAATCCGGGCTCTGTCCCTCCCCTCCCAGAAATATTGATTTAAAGACCCTCAGATAGGTGCTTTCTGGTCGCATTTGAGGTCCTCCGTTTATCTCCACGGGGCAATGGAACATCCGTCATCGACACCCACCTGTGCAAAGGACAGCCTCCTCTAACCATGTCTAACCCCCTCCCCTAAATCAGGAGTTTTAGGATCCTTTGACTAGCTGGAGAGGAATAAGGAGCGGGGGGGACCCAGCTTCAGCCTCCCAGATTCTGAGATGGCTCACCCGCCCGGGATCCATACCCGGGGAGCGCAACCCCGGTGCAGAGTGACTCCGGAGCAGCCCCACTGAGCGGCGCAAGGCGTGGTTGAGGGCAGCCTGGCCGAGGCTCCTCCTGGAGAGGGCGGGACATCCAGAGCAAACGAACTGATGCAGCAGCCCAATCGCTCGCTCACAGCTTTAAGGCCTGTCGCTCACCAAGTAGAATTTTTGCTCACGAGACTCCACAGCTTAGAGGGAACATTGCTCGGGAGCGCAACCGCGGTGCAGAGTGACTCCGGAGCAGCCCCACTGAGCGGCGCAAGGCGTGGTTGAGGGCAGCCTGGCCGGAGCGCCTCCTGGAGAGGGCGGGACACGTTTCCCCTTTGTCTGCAGCACTGGAAGGGTTAAAGGCACAGAGCCGTTTGCTAGAGAGGGCGAGCGAGGCGGCGGAAGGGAGGAAAGGCTTCTTGGGGGGGGGGGCAGCTTTTGAGCGGGGAGGGGGACCAGGAGACCAGGGAGGGCTTCAGCGGTGCAGGAGCAGGGAAAGGGCGCGCAGCAGCCGGATCCCGGGAAGGTTTGCTTCGCAGGAAGGCGCCGGGGGGATGAGCTTTGGGATCTTGGAAGGGAGGGAGGCTGGCTGGGTCATTCTCAGCCATGGGCTGCATCGGGTTGGCAACTCCCGAGCTGCAAATTCGTGGACTTTTCTTTCTTTCTTTCTCTTTCTTTCTTTCTTTCTTTCTCTTTCTTTCTTTCTTTCTTTCTTTCTTTCTTTCTTTCTTTCTTTCTTTCTTTCTTTCTTTCTTTCTTTCTTTCTTTCTTCAGCAGCCGGATCCCGGGAAGGTTTGCTTCGCAGGAAGGCGCCGGGGGATGCGCTTTGGGATCTGGGGAGGGAGGGAGGGAGGGAGGCTGGCTGGGGGTCATTCCCAGCCATGGTCTGCATAATAGGATTGGCAACTCCCGAGCTGCAGATTCGTGGACTTTTCCCACTTTTTTTTTTTGGGGGGGGGGGTTGAATTCTGGGAAAGGGCCGGTTTGGGGACGGGAGGGCCTCAGATGGGAACGCGGCCATAGACTCCCCCCGGCCCAGGACAGCCCTTTTCTCCAGGGGAAGAAGTGATCTCTGCCAGCGGCAGGTGGGCTGTAATTCCGGGAGAACTCCAGGCCCCACCTGGAGTTTGACACCCCCGTTAGGCGCCACTTTTGCACCGCTGTGGAATCACTTTGTTGGGGGGGGGGAGGGGGGCCGTCCTCAGTGTCTTTCAGCTCAAGAAAGGTTAAATGAACAAAAGGGGTGTTCTGTTGCTGGCCATTTTAATCTCCCAAACAAATCGCTGGTCTTTTCCTCTTAGAACAGATGAGAAAGAAAGGGGCTTGCAGGGAGGTGGGGATGGAACGCCTGCCTGTCTTGGAATCGCCCGCAGCCCCAGACCCCCGATGCCTTCCCGCTGGGGGGCCGGGGCTGCCGATGGGTTTCCAGGGCCTGCCCGGCAGAGGAGAGGGAACATTTTTAAAAACAGGTTGTGAAGGGGCAGAGAGAGATGCCAGCAAAGATCCTGGGGACACCACCAGTGCCTGCCAATCACAGCAGGAGGAGGTCACGCCCACCCCCAGCCAGGCAGAGGGGGCGGAGCATGCTGATGTGGCCACACCCCCTGGTCTCCACCACCCACAGACACCAGGCCAGGAGGAACAAATGGGGCACACCATGAATGCACCAGGGAGCGAGCACCATGGATGTGGGTTCAGGTAGCCCTAAAACATACAAAGATAGCCCCAAGTCACAGGAGGTGTGGGTTCAGGTCCTGCTAAAGGGGGAACCAGGAAGAATACAAAGCTCCCATTTGGAAGTTAGGAGGCCCAGAAAGGAGTCCCAGCTAGAATCAAATGGGATTGGCTAGCCTGAATGTCAAGCCTTTTTGCTGGTCCCACACCCCCAGCCCCTGAAACCGTCACCAGCAGGGCACCAGGGAGACTCTTTGTAGCCACCCAAGGCTGTTCAAGGACTGGGCTCCGGCTTGTTCACACAACAGGCTGGACTCTGGAACACACGGTCCTTCGGCCAGGGTGAGTTCGAACGAGGTGCCAGGAGGAAACTGTGGTTCTTCTCTGGAGGAAAGACTCGTGATATCCGCCCTGCTTCTTCAAGTGGTAAGAAGCTCCGAGGGATCCTGTTCCCCTTGGAAGGAGGAAGCCCTGGAGCCTTCTAGTGTCTTCTTACTGTTTGCTTTAATGACAGATATGCTGGCAAAGCTGAGCACAAGTAGAAGCCGGAGTAATTCCCACAGAGTAGGGCAGTGGTGGCGAACCTATGGCGCGGGTGCCAGAGGTGGCACTCAGAGCCCTCTCTGTGGGCACGCGTGCCATCGCCCCAGCCAGGCCCAGACCATCATTAAAGTGTCGAATTCTCTGCCAAATAATTGTAAGTCAAAACCTCAGTATTCAGGTTAAATTGCCTTGTTGGCACTTTGCGATAAATATGTGGGTTTGGGGTCGCAGTTTGTGCACTCCTTAAAGAGCCAGACAGAGATCCTACACTTTCCCTAAAAAACAAAACAGGCATGTCTAAAATAGCACCGTCTGCAATATGACAAAATGATATTAAAGTGTTCTACACACCACAGGAAGCAAGTCTGTTCTGATCCACCGGGGCAATTCTCACGTGCCTCCTGAGCATTTGAAGGCTTGTGATGTTCAGTGGTGTAGCTCCATTCTTTCTTATTTTCCTTTTGACCTGTTGCTGTCTGTCTCTCTCTGTCCCCCCAGGGAGACGCCTCTCTTCATAGCCAAGTGCATAAAGGCATCTTCTCACAGTCTGAGGTGACCCAAGAGAAGGGAAAGGAGATGGAAGACAAGGACCCAGGAGGACCCGGGATTGGCAAGACAGCAAGCAAAGGTTCCCATCCCCTCCATGCTGGGACTGGTATGGAGTTCTGGGAAGGAGCGGTGCCAGAGATCCTGGCTCAGGACAACATAACCTCAGATGTAGATTGCCAGCGCTTCCGGCTGTTCCGCTACCATGAGGCCGATGGGCCCCGAGATGTGTGCAGCCAGCTCCATGGACTTTGCAACCACTGGCTGCAGCCGGAGAGGCACACCAAGAAAATCAGATCGTGGACCTGGTGATCCTGGAGCGGTTCCTGACTCTCCTGCCCCCGGAAATGCAGTGCTGGGTGGGTGGATGCGGGCCAGAGAGCAGTTCCCAGGCGGTGGCCTTGGCCGAAGGCTTCCTCCTGAGTCAGGCAGAGGAGAAGAGGCAGGCCGAACAGGTGAGGGGATTGCCTCCAGGCAGGTCCCATTCAAGCACCGATATCTGGCCTTATCCTAAAGCTTTCCTGCAAGACATCTGTCCGAGTGTTAATTATACAAATGGGAGATATAACAGCCTCCTTCAGCAGCCTCTTCATCTAGATGATATCTTTTCCCTCCTGATAACTCACCAGTTCCGCTGGTGGAAGGGTGCAGAGTCTGGGAGTGGGGCAGGACCCATTGCTTGGTCTCTTCCATTCCATCTCTTACCCCCTTCTCCCTCGCTGCCGTTTCAGATGTCGGGACCATCCGTGAAGACAGAAGCTACAATCCCTCAGGCGGAAGGTGCTCTTTCCAAGAAAGGACAGAGGGTGCAGGCCATGAAGGGTATCCAAGATGCCCTCTTCTGCGGTAAGGACTTCTTGTTCCTGGATGCGATCGGGGCACGCTGTGAATTTGATGGGTAGAGAGTTCAGGTCAGGAGAAAATGAACTACCTTCTCACACAACACAGAGCTCATTTGCGGCAGTGTCTGCTCATAGTGATGCCTATAAAAGGAGATTAGACAAATTCGTATCTCACCTTCCTTCCATAAGAGGAACTCAAGGTGGCTCAAAAGAGGAAAGGTAGAAATCCTCAGCAGAGCTCTTCAGCCTGGTGAATAAAGGGAGCCTCCATCTTCTGGGGCAGCAGAGCTCTGAAAACCAGTTACTAAGGCCCAATAATAATGGGGAAAATTGACTTCTGTGCTCTTACTTATGGGGGCATCTGTCGGGGTGCGGTGGGGAATAGGATGCTGGAGTAGGGGTGGCTGGCTGGCTATGGCCGGGCACCCGCAGGAGGTTTGGGAAGGGAGAGGCTTGGGGCAGATGTGGTGTCATGTAGATGTTGCGTCTGGCTGAAACACTGCCTGTGAAGTTAGCATGCCGAGGCACACTCTGAAGACTCATTCCTACTTCCCTGAAGTCTCCAGATGCACTCCGGTCACGCCTGAGATGAACGTGAAGCTGACGTGTCACGTGATGTCATTTCCGCCCCCCTCTTTCCCACCGTCTGGCCAGACTCAGGTCCCACAGAAGCCTGAAATATTTTGGCAGCATTTATATTCCCTGAGGCTCATAGGTACCTGGTGTTTCTCTTCTGCCTCTCCCAGAATTTGGTAAAAAGTGGTACAGGGATTTGTTGAGTGTACACAGGGCAAGGGGGTCACAACTTGGAAGGGGTGTGTGTGAACCCGGGAACAAGCAAGCAAGCACCCTTCCTTCCTCCCTCCTTTGTCTCACTATCAGGCAGTGAAGAGATGCTGCTGAGCCGCCGTCTTTTCAGAGGCGTGGAAACGGCTGCTGCACCTGCAGTCCAGGTAGGAGAGACGAGCAGGGGACAGCCTGGGTCCCTCCTCCTTTCTCAGGGGGGCTTTTGCTCCTGCAGTTTCTACAAGGTCGTCTGGGCAAGAGATCCTCTGAACGCCGTTCCCTTTACCCACACCAAGCCAGGCATCCTGTACCTTCCCGGACTACTCCCTTCCAGTGTGCCATCTCTGCCTGCCTGGCGTGATCTCTGACGAGGGAATCTGCCATTTCTTTCAGTGTCCCGTTTCCTTTGAGGAGGTGTCCGTCCATTTCACCGAGGCGGAATGGGCCCTGCTGGATCCGGGACAAAGAGCTCTGTACAGGGAAGTCATGCTGGAGAACTACGGGAATGTGGCCTTTCTGGGTAAGGTTCTTTCAGAGGTGGCCAAGGTGCGAATTGCTGCCTTTGTGATGGGGCATGAATCAAAATATTGAATAGCAATGCATACCATGTTGAGGCCTGTCCCACTACCTGGGTAGGGGCTGTGGCTCACTGGCAGAGCATCTCCTTGGCTTGCAGAAGGTCCCCAGTTCAATTCCCCAGCATCTCCAGATAAAAGGATCAGGTAGGAGGTGATGTGAAGATCTCTGCCTGGGACCCTGGAGAGCCGCTGCTGGACTTAGTAGACAATACTGACTTGATGGACCAAGGTATAAAGAACTTTTGGTCCCCTTATATTTTTTGTTCTGATTCAAAGTTTGGTTCAGGCTTCGAATGCGGCCTGTGTGTGAGTTAAACAGAGTTCGAAACGGCCTTGCTGAGAAAGAGCAAGGTGTCCTTGTGCAGCGCTGATGACACCAGCTGCAGAATGGGAGCTGAGAAGCTGGTACCGACTTTCCAGTGAGCCACATTCCTTTCAATTAGGCCATGATTTCCACCTGTGGGAAAGTGGCCGAGCCGAGCTCCCGGCTGGCTGTGGGCCGTCCTCCCATGTCAGACTACTGTTGACGTCACCTGTTCAACCATTGGTCTAACACTTTGGCTACGTGTCATCACTAAGAGACCTTATTGGCTCGTAGGCTTGGAACCACGAGGGCCCCTTTACCCATAAAGTCTGTCCTCAGCTTGAGGATGGCTACCTAAGACCTTGCCGTGTAGACATCTTCTTGCTCCCTTCGACCATCTTGGATGCTTGCTTGCGTAGGCCATTCAGACCTGGCCTGCAGTGACTCTGGAGTAGAACCCCTTTGGATGACTGGAACGTCCTTCTGAGAATGGGCAATATCGTGTAACTCAGCTTGAGGATGGCTACCTAATGTCATGCCTGCCCTTGACCCAGAGCCAGCTCCTGACAGCCTAAGAGGGGAGGATTCAGTGCCTTTACGAGCTGAAGAAGCATCAGGATCTGCACCTACTGTAAGTACTGAGGAGGATACACAGCAATCTGAGTCAACTACAGGATGGTTTGCACCTGGGATTGAGCAGGCCATAAGCAGCTCACCACCTGCATCTCCCCCACCTGTAAGTAGGCTTAGGGATCAGAGATCAGGAGCTGGCTAGCCGACGAAAAGAAGCACGTTCAAGAGGGCGGAGATCCTTGAGCCCTGAGTTTTAACAGCAGCCAGGAACTCGCACAAAGGTGCTAATGAGGTAATGGGCCAGAGCACTATTTAGTAGGGCCTCTGGCCATGAGCAATTTGTGCTGGCAACCTCACTCATAGAACCAGAAGCTCTGTACCTTGATTCCTGTTTGACTCTGTGGCTTTTGGACTCGGCTTGTGTTTGGACTGCTCTGGCTCCTGACTTCCAGCTTTGAACCTGACCACGCCCTTGGCTTTGCTCCCTGTACTCTGACCTCTGGTAACATTTAACTACGGCTTTGTCTGGTGTTTTGGGACTTGTTTAATGCTCTGCTGACTGCTCTCCCGGCTGACCTTTGGCCTTGTATTGTGACTCCCCCTGTCTGCCTGCCTCCCTGGCTCTACCATGACACCTAAGACCTTGCCGTGTAGACATCTTCTTGCTCCCTTCAGCCATCTTGGATGCTTGCTCAGTAACTGAAAAAGAAGAAAAGCTAACTGTTCTGTCAGATACATGAAATACTTGGTATTTGGTGGCACCTCTTGTTGCAGCAGCATAGGTATTCCAGCTGTAGCCTAAGTTACTCTGCAGAAAAGTATTCATCATAATGAAGCAAGAAAATATCAAGGCGTATTAGCATGGCATGAGCATAAAGTGAGCATGGCTTCCCTCTGGTCTAGCCCCGTATTATACTTTCTACCTCTCTAGGGTCAGGTGGTCCTTGACAGAATTTTCCAGGGGCTGTGAGCACCCTCCTAAACCCCCTTCTCTCCTGCTTACACAACTGGATACAGATTCGCACGATTAGCCTATTACCACATTCTGGAGTCTGGCCTTGAAAAAGATAAGGCTCTCGGCTGCAGGGACACGCAAATAGGGGGGAACGAGGGTGCTTTCTTTCACAGATCCGTTCAAACGATACTGGTCGGGATTCTGAGCTTTGATCTTGGCCATGGTTCCGTCCTTCTAGAAAAATTTTTACTCTTGAATTTCTTACATTCTCCATGTTAGAATGATCTCTCTCTCTCTCTCTCTCTCTCTCTCTCTCTCTCTGTGAAAGAAGCCAGAAGTATAAGAGAGGCTACAATGGAGGCAGACAACAGCCTTGCATCCAAAGAAAAGCTGGAGAGTTCCTCAAGAGGATCCCAAGAGCATATTTCCTTCTCAGATGAGCTGGTTGAGAGTGAGTATCCTTCACGGTTATGTCAAGTGAACAGGCAAGGAATAGCCATGGGTGGTAGCTGATTAACTTCTGAACAACATTTGGTTTGGTACAATCACACGGCCCAGTGGATAAGGAGGGAGGGAGGCCTTCTGGGGGCCTGAAATCTGGAGGCTCAAAAACTCCTTCTGGGCAAGAGCTCACCTGTGGCTCTTGAGGGGGTGAGATATCCTTAAATACTAGATATTCTGAAGAAAGGC